CCACCTACCTACCTACCTACCTACCTACCTACCTACCTACCTACCTACCTACCTACATGAGTCTCACACGCTGGTAGATGAGTGAGATAGCATGAGCGATTGTGAACGAGCATGTCATGTTTGCAAGCTCTCCCTCCCCTTGTCCCTTGGGCCTTTGACGTGCTAGTGGCCGTTGAGTGCTCAGTGTGTACGTCCGTCGTGCATGTGTGTGTGAGGTGGCAGTTCAGCCCTACCAGCGGGACGGATGCCCGCCCGACTTTGACTGGTTCGCTTAGTTGGTCACACGACAGGGGTGCGGGGAAGAGGGAGGGGCGGTCCCAGCCAGAGTCCAGGGTTCACTGGTGCCAACGCGCGCTGGTGCCAACACGCGACATGGCTCATCGTCATGGCCGCTGCCTCTTTTTCTTTTGTTTCCCTTTTTCTTTATAGCCCACCAAGACATTGCCTGGAAGAGAGTGAAGTACGAGAGAGACACGACGAGACATGCAGAAATATACGCACTCGTCGTCGTCCTCGCCGTCCTCGGCTGCTCGCCCAGGCACCCCACGGCGGGCGCTACAAACAAACAATGACGCGAACCAGAACCAGAATCAGAACCAGCTTTCACTCTCACTGTCACGCAAACGCCTTTCCTTGCAGGCAGCAGCAGCTACAAACACAGGCCTGCGATCCTCTCCCTCTCCAGGCCTCTACTCGTCGCCTAGGCACAACCTTGCAGAGTCCCGTCGCACGCCTTCGTCGCCCAACTTCCAGGGCAATCCACTCAGTCTCAGTCGCAGTCCCAGTGTGGCCAGCATCAATCGCACGTCGTCGCCTGCAATGCGCAGAAAATCGTCAACTTGCTCGCTTCGTGGCGACAATGTCAACATGACTGGATCTCCTCGACAGCCTACTTCGCGCCGATCCTCCTTTCATCCACACGTCCCCTCGCCCATGGGCCCCAACAGCCCGCTACATGGCGGCCAACAAGAGAAGCCGCCACTACGGGCCTGCGATGTGGCCGAAGAGCATTTCAAGAAGGAGCTCTGCCGTCATGAGGGAGTCGCGGGTGCGGTCAAGGCAGGCACCGTCGTCATTGTGCACGACCACTGCTATGGCCATCGATACTCACGACCCAGGACTCCCAAGGCCATGCTCAACCTCATCATGGAGCGACCTGAGCGTCTCCTGGCCAGTGTTCTGGGTATAGCAACAGCCTATGTCCGACTGGGTGAGCGACACGCCCAAGGAAGTCACCCTCCACACCCCCATCACAATCCCCCCGAGCGCATACCGTTCAAGATTCGCAAGACGTCCCGCATGGTCGACATCAATTCACAAGTCGTCACGAATGTGCATGGCACAAAGTGGATGGCCGAGCTCAAGTCTCTGTGCGACGATGCAGGACGCAAGCTGGCCTCGACGGGCAAGGAGTTGGCGAGGGAGGGTCCTGTTGTACCTTCAGGACAAGCCTCGAAGAAGGAACTACATTCAGGAGACTTGTATCTCTGTCCCGAGTCTCTCAATGCTTTTCAAGGCGCCCTGGGTGGCGTTTTGGATGCAGTAGATGCCGTGTTCCAGGGCACGAGCATGGGTGACGGTCCCTCTCGTGCCTTTGTCTGTATCCGGCCCCCTGGCCACCACTGTTCTAGTGACCATCCATCGGGTTTCTGTTGGTTGAACAATGTCCATGTTGGCATTGAGCACGCTATGATGACCTATGGCCTGACCCACGCAGCCATTATAGATTTCGATCTGCATCATGGAGATGGCTCACAAGCAATCACGTGGGCTCGCAACAAGAAGGTGCAGAACATGTCTAAAAACACGTCGAATGCGAAGAAGACGTCCATCGGCTACTTCAGCTTACACGACATCAACTCGTATCCATGTGAGGACGGAGACGACGATAAAGTACAGGCGGCCAGTCTGTGCATCGACAACGCACACGGTCAATCCATCTGGAACGTGCATTTGCAGTCTTGGAGAACCGTTGAAGAGTTTTGGGCCATTTACGAAGACAAGTACATGGTACTACTTGACAAGACGCGCCAGTACCTCAGGCATCACACCCATCGTCTCCATACAACACCGAATCACCCGAAGCCAAAAGCAGCCATCTTCTTGTCTGCAGGCTTCGACGCCAGTGAATGGGAGACTGCAGGCATGCAACGCCATTCTGTCAATGTGCCCACCGAGTTTTACGCCCGTTTTACTCGCGATGTGGTACGTTTGGCTGAGGAGGAGGGTACTGGTGTCGAGGGCCGTGTCATCTCGGTGCTCGAGGGTGGTTACAGCGATCGAGCCCTTACTAGCGGGGTGCTCAGCCACCTGAGTGGACTCTGTGATGGACAGGTCTTCACAGAGCGAAAGGCTGAGAAAGGGCTTGCCTATGAAATGCGTCAGCGACTTGGCGGTCTGACCTTGGACGATGAGGATGTGCCCGTGCAGGCTAACGAGGACGATTCCGAGCCCATCACATATGATCCTCTCTGGTGGCACGCATCACACCTCAGTGAGCTGGAGAATCTAGTGAGCCCGTCGCCTGTCATGCCGAAGAAGCCTCGTCCCGAGATTCACAACCACTTTTCATCTCCCACACAGTCTTTCGCGGCCAAGGTTGTCGATCCCAGCAAGCTGAATCGGAGCACCTCTTCTAGATATCCCTCTAGCCCTTCACGAGCGCCAACACCGCCTCCTCCGGATGTGGACTGGGCAACAGCAGCGCAAGCTCTGGCCAAATTGCTGATTCCCTCTGACCGTCAGACTCGCAGCTTCCAGCCCGAGGATCTGGCCGAGCCGAAAGTGAAGAAAGAGAAGGCCGCAGCTCCGACACTAGCTTCTGTGCATGTTGATCTGTCTGGACGACAGTTGCGTGGCCGCAAGGCTGCACCGACATATGCTGACCCAGACTTGGATGAAGTGTCTGTTCGTGGGGAATCACGAGCTAGTAGGCGGAAGACGATTGCTGATTTTCCAATCGCCACTGAAGATGACCCGGCACCAGGACGGTCTGCGGCGTCACGGAGAATGAGTATTGCTTCGAGCGTGTCGTCGATTGGCGATGGAAACGTCAGTCGAGCACCAAGTGTCGCGGCGAGTCGACGAAGTGTCGCTCCGGCCAACAGCGCGGGAGCCAAAAAGACACGAGGCTCCTCGACCGCTACCACTCGTGCTCCTCAGCGCCCTGCCGCTCCAAGTGTACCCTCTGGACATGCTAGCAAGACGAAGCCGGTCAAAGGCAAAGAGAATGATGGACTGGATGCAATCACTTACGGTCTGAAGCGTGTCACGCTCAGAATGCCTTCAAAAGAAGAGTACGAGGCTCGAGAGAAGGAGAAGGCTGCTGAAGCCGCGAAGAAGGCGGCGACGAAGACGACAACGCGCAAGGCAGCTGCAGTGAAGCCAACTGTGACCAAATTAACTGCCAAAGCAGCCACAGCAAAGCGAGCTCCTGGTCGGCCACCCAAATCAGCCAAAGCCCCCTCACCTGTTGACGCCAGGCCAACCACGCCGATGCCTGCATCACCCGAGATGCAGGCTACCGAGGCTGGTCTTGTAGAGCACTCGTCTCATCCCATGCGAAGGCAGTCTAGTAGTACAGTGGTTGCTGCACAGGTGATGCAAGACACTCAACCGCGTTCGAGGCAGTCTGCTGTCGAGGGTCGCACCTCTGCGAGCCTCATGGAAGCACCGAGGGAGCTTGGAGATGCAGCCATGAGCCCAGAGCAGCTTCGCGAGCAGCTGCCTATGCCATCGTTTGTCACAGTCGGCGAGCCTGTACAGAACCCGTCACCTTCCTCGCGTGCAGACACACCTCCGCCGCCGCCACCCTGCAGCATCCCCCAGTTTGTCAACTACACTGCACATTCCTTTGACGAAGAGGTGACAGCAGAAGGGCATTATTTTGCAAACCATCATGGTGCCGAGTCTCTGCAGTGGTTGCCGCCCGCTACAGCAGCCTCGCCGTCATCGGCGACGGAATGCCGACCCTTGTCGCCTGCGTGCAGAAAGGGATCCTTGCCCGTCTTTACCGCACATGGAATCATTCCCTTTGCCTCGAGCGCGTCTAGGACGCAGGAAGCTCATGCAGGGTTACACAGTGCATTTGGACAGCAAGGTGCTGCGCCCGCCGTCAAGCACGAGGACAAGAGCCAGGATCTGTGGGAAGTACCCGACACGCCCGCTCGCTAGGTCGGCTTACGGGGATGATTGATCGACAGAAACTTGGCATTACCTGTTGTTCTTCTGCTAATCATGGTTCAAACGGCTGTCGGCTTGGATTGCCCGTCTTTGCAGCAACAGGTCGGGGAAGATGAGGTGGGATGGTTGGATTGGTGTTGTTGATTGGTGGTTTTTACCCCCCCCTACCCTACCCCTCTTTCCTTCTTTTATGCGTGAATTTAGATTGGTGAAGGGGACGAAGCGGTAGGTGTGAGCGTTGCAAGACATTGTCAGCTTTTGCCAGCTTTTTGTATAGTCTTTTTTGTAATACCCATCGTCGATGACGGTTTTTTAGTGTGCGGGGGTTGGTGGGGGAAGGCGGCTAGCTGTTGGTGTCCTGCCTGATGAGGGGAGAGATTGTGGATTGCAAGATTTATCTGGGTGGCGTGTGCAAGGCTTGGTTGGCTGATTTGGTACCATATGCTGCATGCGCTTTGCTCGAGGCAGAATCGTATCATTCATGGGAAAAGAGAGATTCTGGCGAGGCTGACTCACAGCTATACATACAACATGCAGTATGCCCATCTTCTGGTCTCGCACTCGTGCTGCCTGTCACAGGGTGGAGAAAGTAGCGCATTCGTCCCATGTGCCCTGTGATGCTGAAGAGTTGGGTATCGCAAGGGCTGCGCAGGTTGGTGGTGCATGCACGGTATTTTGTTAAAGAGTTGAGACTTTGCTTGAGCGCTGATGTGGATTTTGTGAATACCTTTTTACGCAATTAGGGTTATTGATAATTTAGGTGTTTGGTCTGTTTGAAGCTTTGGTTTTTTGACATGTTAGTATCATTTGTGATAGTATTCGAGTGATTTATGTGTAATACTTTAGATAACAGTTTGGGAATAGTTGGGACTTGAGAGTCGTCTCAGTTAGTTAGAATGTAGCGTGTTGTGACCCATGGTGGGATATGCAGTGGGAGAGCTGTTTGATCTGAAGGTGGAGGGTGGTGGAATTTGTGGATATTTAAGCTATGCTGTGGGTTGGTGATGCATGAAATATTGGGCATGTCTACTCTTAGTTGTCTGTGTATAGTATTCATTTACTGAAGAGCAATTCGAGAGATTCGCTATGGTCGGAGAACTCTTGGAGAGAGACCTGTACACTCGTGCTAAGCGTAAGCCTTTGTTAACGGTGCTGAACAAACAGTGTATTGGTGCTAACAACTCTGCTGAAAGGTATAACCGGTAGAGGCTTGAGGGCATGAGACGCGGGGATGGGAAACACGGTTTGGCGTTTGACATTCATACCAGACCGGAAGACTTCTTCTTCACGTGATAGTCACATGATTCATCTCAAAGTATATTTTTCTACAATCAAATGGCCATCAAATATTAACAACGGTATATTTCAGTTGAGAACTCTTCGCTAGCAGGTTATGTACTACATATTTGCTTGGAATGTTTCTTTACTAGACCTTGCACTATCCCTACCTTAGTAGTAAGGCAGGGATAGTTAATTAGTCCATTGTGGCGAGGACAATTAGCACTTCACGTTGTGGTGGCATGTCATATGACCATGGGTTTAGCGTTGGGCGACTTGGGCTTTACTCCAAGTGGTTAGAATATCCCTGTAGGTTCAAGTCCACGTTACAGCGGCAAATTTTTATAGTTATATAAACTAGCCTATAGTTAAGTATAAATTAGGGTAATTTAAGCAAGTAAACGTAGTTTTTATTACTATCTTTTTTAAATATATTTTAAACCTATTCTTAATAATATATAGGCGTTCCTAAATACTATACTAGAGTTTAGTATAGTAGTACTAGATAATATATCTAAACTAGATAGTAATATTAGAGATAAATTTAGGCAACTATATAAAGTGCTAGAGGAGGATAGTAGTAGTAGTATTAAGGAAGTAAGTAAAAGTAAATAGAATAAGTTTAGAATAGGTTAGTAATATATTATAGGGGCATAATATATACCTTACTTATAGTAATAGTTAAGGACTACTACTTATACTAGTAATTATTAAGTATATAGCTATTCTCCTAGTATACCCTTAATTATATAGCTAAGGGTATAGGTATATAATACTAGTTTAGTAATATAAAGATAGCTCTTACCTAATAAGAGAAGAGGTGCTTATATAGGCTATATAGGTAACACGTTAAGAACATGTTCTTAAATTATTCTAATTCTAGTAGGTATAATACTCCTACTAGTCTATCTATCTTAATAGGCCTATAACTTTACTATTTTTTAATAGCTAGCTAGCAAGCTAGTATAAATACTAATACTCTAGGGTAAAAGCGTATAAGTATCTTAAGAATATATTATAAATATATTCTTATTACGTTATTAATAACACATTATATAATTAGATCTAAACCTTAAAAAGTGTAGTACCTAAGAAAATTCTATAAAGAGAACTATAAATAAGAAGCTATTATTATAGCCTTATTAAGCGCTTCTCTTTAAGGATTTATAAGGACTACTAGGTGTCTTATTATCCTATAATAAGGACTATAGTAAATTAGGTAGGGAGGGAAACTTAAACATATTTAAAATATATTAATAACAAGTTAGTAAATTATAGAATAGGCTTAACTATATATTAGCTATTAGAACTATAGCCTAATATCTACTACTAGGAAAAAATATTATTTTAGTTAGGTACTACTAGAGGTAGACTCTATATATCTATAAGGTCTTCTAACTAGGGAGATATTAAATCTTTCTAGTAGTCCTACTTTATATTCTATAGTTAAGCTATAGTTAAGCTAGATAAAGAAGTGTAGTAGGTATATTATAACCTATTCCTAACACGTTCCTAATATATTCTAGGCGTTAATTATTTATAAGGGCAAGGATCTCTATTTAAAATCCTATATAAAGTTACCTTCTAAGTAATTATACTAATAGATATAGTAGTAATACCTTTTTTTACTATTATTTCTTTTAGTATATATATATATATACCTCCTCCTCCCTTAACACTATCTAATAGTAATATTAAGGAAGTAGTAAAGGTGTTATAGCCTATGCTTACTCTATAGCTTATATAATATAAGTTATTTATAACCTATTATAAATATATTCCTAACTTATTATAGCCTAGTTCCTAAACTTAACCTAGCTTTAAACCTATCTCTAACTTAAAGGTTTCTATTCTATTAAAGAAATATATATTAGCTTTATAAATAAAGATAAAATCTTACGTATTATAAAGCGTAAAAAGCTTCTATAGTTCTTATTTAAGAGTAGCCTTAGAGGAGTATACTATAAGTAGAGGATAAAGTATTAGGATCCTAAAACTATATATAGTATAAGAGAATAGGTTTAGAATATATTACTAACACGTTACTATAGGCGTATATATAGTAAATCTTTATATTAAGCTTAGGTAACTTAATTATTTACCTTTTTAAAGAGTAGGTATTAATTCTATTAGATTAAGATATATTCTAGATAGATATATTATATAAGAGGTTGTATAGGGCATAGGTAGAGATTCTAATAGTAATCTTCTACCTGCAGGAAAAGAAGCGTACGTATTAAGAATAGGTTTATAATATATTTCTAATATATTACAGTTATTATACTTAGCTAAATTATTATAGATAAGGATATAACTAAGATATATTAAGTTACTATTACTAACTTCTTTTAGAAGTGTAAAGCACTTATAAAAAGATAAGTGTTATAGAGGTATATTTACTTATAGAGATTCTATAAGACTACTATTAATATATATAATAAGTAGATAATAGGCAAGTTTTATAGCGCACTGTAACCTGTTTATAACGTGTTTCTAACTTATTTCTAGGACTTAGGCGCTATCTCTAGTTAATTAATCCCTATAAGCGTAACTAGCGCTAGTAACTTTAATCTTGTATAAGATTTTGTTAAGTATATCTATAAAGAAGTATTTACAAAGTATATAAAAGAGAGCTAGATAATACTACCTCTTTATATCTAAGTGAATTACTATAGGTATTAATAGTAGAGGAATACTTTTAGCTTACTAACCTCCTCTTACGTAAGTAAACATATTCTAAACCTATTCTAAACGTGTTCCTAACTTATTCTTATATAATTAGAACACAAACCCTCTAAAGATACCTAAAACTAGGTAATCTATAAGAAAAACCTAGTAATTACTACTAGGATTATGCAATACTATAGTAAAATATTAAAAGAGGTATAGGAAAAACTAGAATCTTATTTAAATATAGCTAAGTAGGTAGGCTAGAAAGGATATAAAACTAGTAAGCATATAAGTATTCTTAAGGCTACTTAGAAGTAAGTTTATAACCTATTCTTAACCTATTAGAATTATATAAGTAATATTATATAGTGCACACTAGATAGATCTATAGGATATAAAAGAGTTTAAAGCCTAGAGCAAGTTTAGAATACGCTATAACTATAGAACTCCTAATAGGCTTAAGCAAAGGTACCTTAAAAAGCTTTAGAGGGGAGAAAGTAAGTCTTACGCTAGCGTTATATATATTTACTAATTAAAACGTGTTTAGAATATATTTAGAACGCGTCCTATAATAATAATAATACTCTAGATAATAATAAAGCAAGTCTTGCTATATCTAACTTAACTAGATATATCTTAGTCCTAATAAGAAATAAAAGAGCACGCTTAAAAGCCTAAAGCTAGAGGGCAAGTAATAGAGCGGTATTAGAAAGAAGTTCACTAGCCCCTTTTCTATCTTCTCTACTACTAGGCTCTTCTCCTCTACTAATAGTAACCTAAAGGTATACTTTGCAAAACACGTTTATAATATATTCCTAACTTATTATTAGTCTATAACTATAAACTTTATAATAAAAGACTCTTCTTAGTAATTAGGCTCTAAAGAAGAGAAAAGAAAAGCTAGAGGTAGATAAGGAAGAACTTGTATAGAAAAAGGCACTATTTAAATTATAAAAGGTATAGTTTAAACTTAAGAAAGAGATAGCTACTTTTTATATAAGGTAGGGTTAGTTTATAAATATAGTAACTAGTTCCTAACTAGTTCTTAATATATTCTAGTCTATTATATAAGTATATATAAGTAGATAAATATATATTCTTTCTTCTTCTCTTTCTTCTTCTTTCTTCTTACACTCTATAAGAACTTTTTATATTTAAGAGTTTAATACTATTTTACTATCTATCTTTCCTAATATTATTAGATATAACTAGTTAATATAGTCTATAAAGATCTTTTAAAGTTAGTATATAATAGAATATATTAGGAATATATTATAAACTTATTCTAATACTAAGTAGGATTTATACTAGTAATATATTAAGCTTAAGTTACTTCTATCTAATACTAGGGCATTCTCTCCTATAATATCCTACCTAAATAATAGGTGTATAGTATTTCCTAGTAAGCTTTTCTACTAGGCTATTTAGGCTAGATTAGGGGTATAGGAACTTTATAGAGTATATATATATATAAGTTAGAACACGTTTATAATATATTAATAACTATTTTAGTATTGCTTCTCTAATAGAGGCAATCTTATCTACTACCTTAAGAGGTATTATCCTAAGGTTTAAATAGCCCTAGTAAACTATAGTAGAACTATAATATAAGGTATTATAGAAGCAAGGATCTTCTATAAGAGCTTAATAGTAAATGCTTAAGAATATATTCTAAACACGTTAATAATATATTCTCTACTAGTAGAGTAGACTATACTGAGTACCTCCTCTAAGGTTTAAGAACCCTCTAAGATAGCTAGTCTATAATAAGAAGTAGTAGCTAGAGTAGAGGCTAAAGAGGAAGTAGAGAGTAAAGAAGAGGAGTAAATAGTTGCTCCCCTTTATACTATAAATAATATTTAGTAAAAGTAGTAAAAAGAAGATATAAGTCTAGTCTCTTAAAACATGTTTAGAATATATTAATAATATATTATAGCTAGACACCTATAAATACTAGATTCTTCTTTAATCTAAGGGACTACTAGAGCTTTATAATACTTATAAAAGTAAAAAGAAAAAGTTATATAGTATTAAAGGACCCTATAAAAGTAAATAGTACTTTACTTTTAGTAGATAGAAAAAAAAAGAGAAGAGTAAAGAGTTTATTTTAGTAATTACTACTACCCCTTTAGGTTATATACTATTATATATTATTTATTAGAACCTATTCTTAATATATTCTTAATATATTTCTACTTATTACTATTATTATCTCCCTCCCCCTCTCTAGTATCTTCTTTATTCTCCCTATCCTCCCTAGGCTCTATAAAAGTATACTACAAGTAGAACTAGGTAGTATTCTAGTAGGAATTAGTAAGGTCTATACTAGTATTAAAGTAATAGTCTTAAAATATATTAGGAATAGGTTAATAATATATTATAAATAACTTACTATAGCTAGGATAATTATAAGTGTAGATAGTATAAGGAACCTAATAACCTTAAATTCTTAGTAGGGTAAATATAGTAATAAAGTTAAGCTATAATAAGTTAGTAACGTGTTTTTAATAGGTTCTTATAGGCTATACCTTATTACTATTATAGCTAGTATAAGTCTTCTTCTAAATTATATTTAGGAGGGTATTAGTATTTATAGGGGGGCCTATAGTAGCTACTAGCTAGGCTTAGAGAACTTCTATAAAATATATTAGTAATAAGTTTTAAATATATTCTAAATAACTTATAGTAAGAAGTATTCTAGTAATTATATATAACTTTTATATAGAAGTCTATATATATTAGTATAATAAGTTAAGAATAGGTTAATAATATATTTACTCTTTACCTTATAGACCTCTCTTATAGAGGGCTAGCTAGTCTTCTTAACTCTACTAACCTTATAGTAGGCTATATTAAGCCTATAATCTTTTTTAGTATAGGTATATAGAGTGCCCCTAGTACCTAGAATAGCCTAAGAATATTAGAACCTATTTAGAATATATTTAGAACCTATTCTTACTTTATATAAGGTGCCCTTATTATTAATCTTAGTATAGTAGTAGCGCTCTCTACTCTCTATCTTAACTACCCTATTAGGGCTAACTATAGGCTATACCCTAATATTATCTAGGATATAGCTAAGGGTAAAGTACTATTAATAGTACTTCTATAACCTATTAAGAATATATTCTAAATATATTTTAATCTACTTATATAGGATATAAGGGATACGTTAGTAATAGGTATAGTAGTAGTAGCTTATAGTATTACTAGTATAGAATATATTTAGAATAGGTTTAGAATATATTATAAAATCTTATAGTATAATATTTAGTTAACCTTGCTTAGCTAGCTAGTAGAGCTTAGCATAGCCTAACCCTATACTAAATACGAGTTCACGTAGCGCTAATTCCATGGTCATATGAACTGCGCCCTCCTTCACGTTCCCGCATCTCCCTACACCCCTAGCACGCAGCAATCACCAGCTCAGCGTTAGAGTACAGGGAAGACGTGCAGGCGGGAAGCAAAAGCACTAGGCAGGCATTGTAGTACCGTACGGTATGTCCCATTCGTAGCTACTCTACCTAACCCCGCCAGACCCTTTTTCTACCTTTCCCGCTGCTCTACAATAGTCCACATGCTCTCCGGCCATGTGACATGTCCCTCTGGTTCCGCTTTCTTCTTCTTCTGCCTAAAGTGCCTTTTCCTGATGCATCGATGCACTGGGGGAAAGGCATCACTGCACATGAGTCGGAAAGGGTGTGGGTGCTGCGGCTGCGGGTTCTACCTACAGCTCGGGAACGGCCAGGGGCCTGGCAGGCAGGTTGGAGGTACCTAGTCGCCATATTCGTATCGTATTCTAGTCGCGTGCTAAACTTCGCCATGGCTGGTCGCCAGAACGGTGAGTGTGTGTGTGTGTGTGTGGCGCATATGACGTACCTGTCAGTGTGTTGGAACCTGATTGCCTGTGTTTCCTTGGAGGCACGCGCGCCTGTGGGGGAGGGAGGGGTGAGGGGCCTGGTGCTGGCTTGCATGTACAGTAGGTAGGTATGGTGGTTGGTACTTAGGTAGCTGTGTGTGCCCTGCTGCTTTTCGTTTCAGATATCCCGACACGGTTTTGTCGCGTCGCTTGTTGTTCAGCCTGAGGGAACTTGTTGGTCGGACAGTTTACGGTAACTACAAGCTGTCGTACTGTTTATCCATAACTTGCGTGTCTGCTACCGAGTACCTACCCAAACCCAACGTTTGAGCTCCAACGTCTTGTGCTTTCTCATCCCCTCCCGCTCTCCTTGCTCAACAAACCACCATTTCAGCAACAACAACAACAACAACAACAACAACATACAACAACAAACCGAATACCACCCCAAAGCATCCCATCACCATGTCTGAGCCCGCCACCAACGGCGCCAGCAATGGCCGCAACCTCAACCCCTTCTCCAAGCGCTCCGACTTCTCTGCGCAGTCCATCTTACTCTACAAAATCACCACCTCAGCCAGCTGGCTCTTGTTCCTCGTAACAGCATGCTACTACGTCTTCAACAAGCCGCACGAAGGCCACCATCCGCACGGCAGATTCTGGCAGCACAACTATCCGACTCCATTCGCACAGAGCAGCATCATCACCTCCATCTACTGGTACCCATCCCCACTCGCACTTACCCACAAAAAAAAAGGTAAAACGAACCATTCAACTGACCAAAGACGGATCACAGGATCATCCTCTTCATCCTCCAACTCTTCTATGCCTACGCCCTCCACACATCCAACACCGTCTACGTCCACGCCGCCGCAAACATTGGCTCCCACTTCATCGCCCACAACCTCCTCCTCTTCGCCTTCGTCCACCTCTGGGTACGCTCCCACTTTTGGCTCGCCGAATTCCTACTCCTCGTCAACTTTTGCAATCTCTCGGCCGCCTACTTTCGTCACTCCACTAGCCCCCGCCTCATCCACGTCGGTGCGGTTTCGGGCCCACTGGCCTGGAACTTTGTCGCATTGTATTGGTGTGGTGCCGTGGCTGTGCACACGAACCATGCGGCTGCGAGGATTGTAGCTAATGTCTTCATTTGGGGTTGGGCGGGCTATGGTGTCTTCTTCTTGGCTGCGTACAAGGATTATACCATGGGCTTTGCGCTTTCCGTGCTCTCGGTTTGTAAGTCTGTTGTCTTCTCTTCCTCGATTATACCCCATTCATGCTGTTGAGATAGCCAAGCTGATTTGCTGCTTTCTTTTTCGATGAATAGCAACTGGAGTAGGCCAATTCCTCACGAAACCACACATCCTCCAACTGCAATGGATCTTTGCCTTCTCCATTGGCGGCCTCCTCTTCATCCTCTCCCTCGCCGTCGGTCTGCCCGGCCTCCTAGGCCGTGATCCCTTCCCCCGCGGTGCCATTGTGGACGAGGACCGCGAACGCGCTCCGCTGCTTGCTGATGAGTAACTTACCTCCCAAAGTAATTCCTGGCGAGAGAACGAGGCGACATCTGTTGGACCAAACTAATCACTGGATTTTTAGGGGAAGAGATGGATCTTGGTTCGATTCTGAGCATTGGGATGGATATCGGGGTGACGAGGGGAGTGAGGGCACAGGTGCTAGTTGGACAGAGAGTACGCTGTCTCTCCATGGGGGTATTTCATTTTGAAAGGGCAGGGGGTAACTGGGGAAGGGTCCTAGTCTGATTACTCGTGGATGGCAGTGCTATTGGTGAATTACGGTGGTTCGTAGAAATCATACAAGATCATCGTGTTGAGTTTCTCGACCTAAACTGCTAGGCTGATGGGATACAGCAGGCCTCGTCCTCCTATTTGTCCATGTCCAAATTCCATCTTGCTCCATGATCCGTCTCCATGGCATCACCAGACAGAGCTAGTATCACCTAGAGGGTCGAGACGGTGAAGTCCTTGATCGAGAACGTCGTGTCTATCTCCCTGTCAGCGCTCATCACCTCACAGATACACAAGTACTCACCCGTCTTCGGTCCCGGACTTTTACTGCTCCCCTCCATCTGAAGGTTGATAATCCTAACACATTCCACATTAGCCACCAACACCTCCTAACTCGTTACCCACACCCAAGGGAGCCTACTCACAGCCGCATAGGTTTCCCAACATAGTCCTTGGCATACTGCGTCGACACCACCTTGTCATTCAACCAAAACCTAACCTCGACATCTTTCCCTGGCGTCTTGTGCATCAGCGAACACGACACCGAATGCCACTCGTCTGGATCGGGATACGCCAAGTCCACGCCCGTCACCTGCGAGCTCGTGTTGTACGTGTTCATGCTGATCTTGCCCGAGCCCTTGAACTCTGCAATATCCACCTCGGGCGGCCAGGACTCCGCGCTCAAGAGCCAAACGGCTGGCCATGTGCCTCTCACCACGGGGGCCTTGACTTTGAAGTTAACGGCAAATCCCTGCCTTTCTGTGACGGTGAAATTTTGCTTGGAGTGCACCGCGCCCGACAGGTAATTGATGATGATCTTCGGATTATGGCACACTGGCCGTTTGCCGCTGACGGGTTGGGCGGTTAGGCGGAGGACACCGGGGGTGGGGATGGTAACGTGGCTAGGATCCATAAATGCGGCACCTATGTCAATGTGATGCGTTAGTCTGGTCATTCTGTGAGTCGAGTGGGATCTATTGGGAGGGGGTAGAGCCGAGAGACGTGCCATTGTGACATGTACCGGTACCCCAGGGATAGCCGTAGTCGAAGTACTTTTCCAGGTACGTTTTGCTATTAAAGGCATTTGAGGGGATCAAATCTATAATCGGCGCGACGGCTGAGACCGCAGTGGCCAAGAGCAGTGCGCTTGCTGCGGAGAAATGCATCGTGAGTGCTGGGAGATGGCGTAGTGTGAGATGGGAAGCTATTTGTTCAAAAACCAGCTGTTGTAGGTACCGCCAGCGATACTGGGTTTCACAGCTGGGCAACCAGGTTTATATATCCCACATCTCGACTAAAGCAATGGTATCTGTAAGACCACGGCACGCCAGGATCTCTGCCCGGAAGCAAACAAGACTCCCTTCGGGGCAGGACATTCA